TCGTTATTTAATTACTCACCCTGTAGGTACCATTTTACACCCAACAATTTTACGAAAAAAACTTTGTCATTAACAGTTAAGAAAAACATTTAGTATAAATGCATAGATAAAGGGAAGCTGAAATATCTGAAATAATAAAAGTTTTTTTACACAGGCCCATAAATTGTCATTCCTTTAACTTTTAAAACTTATTTATTTCAATTTGAACAGTAAAATACACTACTTGTTAAAAAAACGCATTTCTTTTTCAAATATTGTTATTTTAATATAAACTAAAAAAGTTTTTGACGCAATTTTTATTTCAATTAAATAACAAAAAAATATGTTTTGTTAAGTAGGTTATGACTTTGACATTTAGTTATTAGGTTTTTAAAAGAAAATCCTATTATTTTTAAGTTTTAATTTATAAAAATGTGTCAAAACTATCACTCGTTGGACGTATATTACAATAACCTAATTTAAATGGATGAATGTGTTAAAAAGCAAATTAAAAAATTATATGTAAAGGGTGTTCACTTTGAAAAAAGAATTAAACTTAATAAAATGGCAAGTATAAAAAAGAATGTACATGAAAAAAACTTTTGATCATCTCAGTTTACAAATGTAACATAAAAATATTTAAAATTAGAAAATAAAACAAATTATAAATTAAAATAACCGTTAACCCCATTTCAGTATCTTATGATAACAATAAAAAAATCAAATTTTCAGTGGACGATTAGTCAACCAACGTGCAAAAATTAAACTTTTGAATTAATATCATTTTGGAAGAATGTTAAAAACTTGATCTGAAGGCGACAAATTTAAAGAGCTCTAGATTCCTTGTGAGCATTTTCCAATTAAAATAATTTTGGTTAAATCGACTTAAAATCAAGTCTTCTATCTGTAGTTTTTGTTTGTTAGGCGGGTTCTGAGACACCCTCTGTATACATATATAATTTTTATTTCAAACATAATTAAAAATTAGTGATTCCTATGAAGAATCGATAAATAATGACAATTCACTAGATTACAGTTCATATCCACAAAGAAACAATACATTTTAATATAACTATCTAAAACCAATTAATTTATAAATAATAAGCAATAAAAAAATTTACTACAGTTTGTGTTACCTCTCGTTCGAAAGGCCCGGGGTTCAGATCCCGGCTGAGGCAAATTTATTTTTATTTTATAAATTGATAAAATTCATAAATTTAAATCATTGTGTCAATTATTATTATTAAAATAGTTATTTTATTCTAATAACCAAAACTATTTAGATTGTCTTTAGTGGGTCGTAGAAAAAATGTAGTATACAACTCTAGTGGTTTAAGCGCCTCTTATGGCAACTCTTCTTAAACAAATCATTATTAACATTCTATTTAAATTACATATATTTTATGTCCCCATAAGGTATCTACATATTTAATTGTTAAAAATGTCATTATACAAAAATAGAAACTATTTTTCAAAAAACTTGCTTTGAACTTTCTCTAATTTTTTGAATGTTGATAATACCGACTTTCATATTTCTCGACCTATATTATTTTAAGTTAAATTATATTATTCAATTATATATTTCATAATATCAATTTATCTAATGTAAGTACATTGACGTCAATCAATTCAAATTCTTATCTCTTCACTATTATTTTTATTATTTTTTATTGATCCTTGATAAGCAATAAACAAAAAGTCTTTTGTTTAAAAATAAAACTAAAAGGAAGTCTTTCTAAATCTATTTCACTTAAATATAATAATTATTTATATTAGCAGCACCCAGTTCAGCACAATATTATGTTACTTGCATTTTTTGTTTTCTTTCTTTTTAAGAAAATAGAAATTTCACTTACCTGTCTGTCTTTTTATCAGCAACATTTAATTTTGTTTTCTTCTAATTTGTAATTCTACTCCGTTCTTTTTAAATTTTAGGTCACATCGATTATTTGTCATACAGGAAAAATATGTTTTCATGTTTCAAAGCAACATTTTAAATTCCTTTTCAATGGAGTATGTAATTAATAAAGCAAATATAAATATGGTAAACAAATACTATTTTTATAATCAATCTTACTGTCGCTATTAACGCTGCATTAAAAATATTACGAGGTGTAAATTCAGCAAACAAGTTATTAAAATTTTATTAGTTTGAAAATATTTCTGACGACGAATTATGTTTGGAATTTAATGTGTTAGAAATTTAAGTTTTCTTTTTTGTTTTCGTATTTAAGATTCAACTACACTAAATGAGAAATGTCTCTTCTAAAAATAATACAAAGAATGTGGTAACTAGAGAAATTTTTGGATAACTATATTATGATACAAAAATACAGGAAAAAACTAGAAATACAAAAATATTTCAAGAAATAATCAATTGCTTATATTCAAAGAACAATTTTCAGAAAAAAGAAGATTCACAGGATTTAGAAAAGTATGACAAAGCAAGATTTTAAGGACTTTCAGGAAATATAGCAACGAATAGCAAATCAACAGGTATATTAGATAAATTAAATCTCTAAGAAAGTATAAGACGTAATAAGAATTGAAGAATTAACCTGTAGAAATATTATTTGAAATAATGTAATATTTAAAAATAATACCAATTTTTGATAAAGTAGTTCCAATGTCAGATATCAGATAAACAATTTTAATAGAAAAAATAAAGGAATAAAGGGAAATAGTAGAGTATCAACATAATTTAAAGAGTTTTAAAAATATGAAAAACACTAAAAGAAACTTAACATTTTTTATATTGTTTCATCATTCTAAATAAATTTAGATATTTTAATTTATTCAGTAAATGTAGATTTAAAAAAAGTCTAAGTAATCCGTTTACAATTTTCATATAAAAAATTGGAATTGTTTATTTTGAGTCAAATTTCAAATTGTAATAAAATTCAAAAATTTAAAAATTATTTAGCACGAAAAAGAAATTTAACAGTGTTTTGTAGATGTTTCATAAAAAATATGTAAGCATAATTTTTGGATAAAATTACTGATAAAAAAAATATATTTTTAATAGTACCTAGCTATTTTATAATGTAAAATCACTATCTTATTTTAACAATAAAATTCTAATGATAAAAATAATTTAGATGTCAACAGCATAGAAATTTATAAGTCAGTCAACAAAAATATATAGAGATAAAAATATTTTTTACAAACATAATTTTGATTTTAAAAATTATTTAAAAATTTTATATTGTTTTAACACTCTAAATAAATTTAGATTTTTTAATTTCTTCGGTAACTGTAGATAATATATTTGTTCCTTATTTTTAACTATTAAATAAATTTGTAAAATTAATTTACAATTTTCCTAATAAATTTTTAATATTAATTAAAAAGTCAGTAGTTTTGAATTATTCCAACGTTTCCTATTTATTTAAAAACATCCTCAGTATAGAATGACTTTTTTTAAAAAAATTTAGTACAATGAATTTTCTCTAGAATTTTTAAATGTGATTACATTTTAAACAAAAAATTATTTAAAAAAGTCAAAGTAATCCGTTTACAATTTTCGTATAAAAAATTGAAATTGTTTATTTTTTTATGTAATTAATACAATAAAATGATCACAAAAATAATTAATTATTTTGAGTCAAATTTCAAATTGTAATAAAATTTAAAAATTTAACAATTATTTAGTACGAAAAAGAAATGTAACAGTTTTTTTGTAGGTATTTCATAAAAAATATGTAAGCATACTTTTTGGATAAAATTACTGGTAAAAAAATATATATTTCTAATAGTACCTAGCGATTTTATAATTAAAATTCTAATGATAAAAGTAATTTAGATGTCAACAGCATAGAATATTATGTCAGTCAACAAAAATATATAGAGATAAAAATATTTTCTACAAACATAATTTTGATTTTAAAAATTATTTAAAATTTTTATATTGTTTTCACACTCTAAATAAATTTAGATTTTTTTAATTTCTTCTGTAACTGTAGATAATATATTTGTTCCTTATTGTTGACAATTAAATAAATTTCTAAAATGAATTTACAATTTTCCTAATAAATTTTTATTATTAATTAAAAAGTCAGTATTTATGAATTATTCCAACATTTCTTATTTATTCAAAAACTTCCTCAGTATGAAATGATTTCCGTTTAAAATTTTTTAGTATAATGCAGTTTCTCTAGAATTTTTAAACAAAAATTATTTTAAAAAGTCAAAGTAATCCGTGTACAATTTTCTTATAAAAAATTGCAAATGTTTATTTTTTTAATGTAATAAATACAATAAAATGATCACAAAAAAATAATTATTTTGAGTGAGATTTTAAATTGTAATAAGATTAAAAAATGATTTAGCATGAAAAAGAAGTTTAATATTTTTGTTATAGATACTTCATAAAAAATATGTAAATATACATTTTGAATAAAATTTAATTTAATTTGAATAAAAAAATTGATTTTTAATAGTACCTAGCGATTTTAAAATGTAAAATCACTATCTAATTTTAACTTTAGGATTCTAGTGATAAAAGTAATTTAGATGTCAACAAAATAGATATTTAAAAGTCAACAAAAATATATAGAAAATAAGAAGATTAATAGAATTACCTCAACTAAACGAACATTGAATGTATTTTAAATTGGAAGTAGTTAAAAATATGAAGAAAAAAATATATAAAAATATTGTCAACACTTTTATTTTTGATTTTAAAGAATATTTAAAATTTTACTTTGGAACAAAGACTACTGGACATTTTTTCTTGTAACTGACGATACAAAAGGAAAAGTAAATTACTTTTGAGCTGATAAAGAAATAATTGTAAAAATAATAAATAAAAATAAATATTTTCAATAGACAAAACGAATATTTTAAAATTTATCTTTTTATGTATCTTCTAATTTAGGAATTTTGATACTTAAATGAAAATTATGACCTTTAAATTTTCGTAATTTAAACTTTAATAAAAAATAATCGATGTGAACCCAATTTTTTTCTGAAAACATTTAAAAATTGAGGAAAAATTAAAAACTTTGATTATATATAGTATTTCACATCGTATTTATTATATAATTCGTTTCTTGCAATTCGTAAAAAATATACACATAATACAAAAATCAATAAAAACAAAATAAATATATCTATATACAGTAATGTACAAAAATAATAGTTACAAAATGAATTAATAATTACACATTGTCGACTTTGAAATATTTAGTCTTTGAGTAATATATTTATATATATACCTAGTCAGTCATATTGAGTTATCACACAAGATAGGCCTGGCCTCCATTATTTACCCCCGATGGGATCATCACGTGCTGGGGCCTCCAGGGGGGCCCCCGTCTACCAGACCCCCGCTCCAACGTGCTGTAATCAGAGTCGATGCTGGAGTAAATATGGTCTGAAATCGGCCTGGGCTCCTGAACCCGCCTCATAGGTCTAGGAGAAGGGGTGGCCGTCGTTGCCGAGGAATAGTTGGCATCATCCGCCTCCTGGGGTACCGCCGCGGAGTATGACGGCGGCAACATTTGCATGCCGGGACTTGGAGGCCCCTGCGTCCTAATCTTCTCAGGGTAAGTATGATGGCTGTGATGCGTACCATTAGCCACCACCCTGGAATCGATTGTGTAATTATTTATATTTCTTCTATAGTTTGCGTTGATCTTCCCTCTGGGTTCCACGGAAGGCATAGCGTATCTTAATTTCTCCCAAAATCGTTTCTCGCCCCATCTCACTCGCTCCGCAGTTTTAAGGTACAATCGCAGCTCGGGATCGAGCTCAGCTTCAGGAATGGGGCCTTCTTCTAATATCACTAATTTAAAGACCCTACCTTTTAGAGCTTCGTGTAGAGCTTGCCTCAACTCGAACCGCGACCACTCAGTCTGTAGGAAATTTCGCGTTAAAACTACTATCACTCTTCTACTGGCTTCTGACGCTTCTAGTACAGCAGGAGCTGTGTGTTGGATATACGCGGTGTGGGGTAAGTCTCTGTAGTGCAAGCACAGCTGGAATTTGGGCTCTAATTCTGCGGCTAGAGCTTGTACGACCCATTCCTCGTCCTTGGGACTATAACACACAAAACCGTCGTACAACTTGTCTCTTTCTTCGTACTGCTTAGCGGCAGTAGCGCGAAAACTGCACAATCGCACTCCGTAACGGCTGTACAGCCAAACGCGTACCGGATCTCTAAAAACGAACCACAACACTAGAGACAGTAATAGTAATATTACGATACATAAAGTCACTACAACCATAGGCCAGTAATCTGACACTAGCATACTGTCGATTACTGAACTGCCGGCGTAAAAGTCACTACATGCCGTGCTGTTAAAGTCCAATTCGCGACGCTGAGGCGGTCTCGAGTCTAGATTGTAGCACATCATGTCCGCACTGTCGACAATCTTTGCTGCATTGTCCGCTACCCACGCCGTAAGTCCTTGCAAGAATTTACATCTACAAGACCACTGGTTGTTGCCCAGCATAACTTCGGATAAACGAGTGTTGGTTGATAGTTGCCACACGGGAAAAGTTACCAATTTATTACCGTTCAGTCTTAAAACCTGCAACGACGTTAACGGCTCCAAAGTATTATTACCGATCACCGAAATTTGATTGTTCTGCAAATATAGTTCTTTTAAATTCGATAACTGTTCAAACTCGTACCCTTTTAATTCCGCCAACTTATTATTCTCTAAATGGAGAATTTGTAAACTTTGCAACCCGTTAAAAGTACTGTTTTGTATCGTCTCTACGCCGCTATTGTTCACGAATAATATTCGCATATTTTTTCTACCGATAAAGACATGATTTTGCAGTTCTCTAATATAATTACCGTCTAAATAAACTTCAGTGGCGTCCATTGGGATTTTTTGTGGGACGTCATCTGCATTTTGTCCGGAGCAATCGACGACGTTATTATTCCAAGTTTGATCGTGGTAACATGTGCAGTTATTAGGGCAAGTCATCTCGCAATCGCATGCATCAAAATCGCAACAGTGGCACAATGCAAAGCAATGCGTTTCGTAAGTACATAAAAAATCACTTTGTTTCACTTGATTTAATGGCATATGAGTCATACCTCTAGAATGGGTCATTTTGCAGACGATATTTTCAAGATCCATCACTTTGGGGTACTGCCTTGAAGCTGACATGTTGTTGATGAGTTGCAGCCACTCCATTGTGCAATCGCAATGAAACGGGTTACCTCCGAGGTATACTTCCGGTAGGGATCTGTTAGAAGCAACTGGAGCGATTCTTAGCGAGTTTAAATCTAAGTTCACTAAATCATTTGCATACATATCCACTCGAGCTAAATTATATTTATCAAGGAATGTGTTAGGTTGCACTGTTCTGATGAAGTTATTGTTTATGAACAAAAGCTCTATTGAATTTGGTATCGACATCGGAGATATTTCAGAAATACGATTGTGACTAGCGTCTAGAGTTTTTACGCGAATTTCATCTTGAATTTTGTAGTAATTAGCGAGATGTTCTATGAAATTTCCGTGAATGTCCAGCCATTTAAGATTACTGGGTATGAACGCGTAATCGAACCACACTAGATGATTTTCCGATAAATTCAGCCATAACAAACTAGCTAAAGTCGCGAAAATACCGTTAATGTCTGTTAAAAAGTTTTCGTCTAACCGTATCGCCTCGATTTGTGTGTTTCTCTCGAATGTTCCTCTCTCGATATTCTGTACTTTATTTTTCGCGAGATTAAGCACTTGCAAATTCGGTAGGTCCCAAAACATCCCTTTGGTTAAATTTCCGATATTATTATCGATCAGTCTCAGTCCGGTGAGTTGATTTAAATTTTTAAACGACCCGTTCCGAAAATCGGATATTTGATTTTCGCCCAAATCTAAAGTTTTGAGAAACGACAGTTCTTGAATCGCGTCGGGAACTTCGGAGAGCGCGTTCGACGACAAATCCAATTCTTTTAAAGCGGAACAATTTAGGAATGCACTCGTGTCTATATTCACAATCAGGTTATTATTTAAAGTCAGTTTACTAAGAACGAAGAGTCCGTTAAACAATTGCGCCCCGATGGTATTCAGTCTGTTTTCCGCCAAATTTAACGTGTGTAGATTGTAAAGAGGTAAAAATGCGTTATCCTCGATAAAACCGATCGAATTGTTCCTCAAATCTAATATCTGTAAAAAGTACAAATCTTTGAAAGTCCTTCCGTCGATTCTAGTTAAAGCGTTGTGAGATAAATTTAATATTATCAAACGAATCAGACCTGAAAAAGTGCCTGCATCGATATGGTTGCTTGTGAGCTGATTACCAGATATATCCAACACCAATAATTGTTCTAATCTGTGAAAAATTCCTTTGGCTAGTGAAAACAGCGAGTTGTTCATAATATGGATCTCTTTTAGCTCTGGTGTACCAGCAAACAGACCTTCGGGTAACGTTCCTATCTTGTTGTTATCGAGATTTAAAATTTTCAACGAGACCAACCCAGCGAAAGTTTCACCAGATATTTCACTTATATTGTTATTTTGTAAGTACAAATGTTGCAATCTTCGTAATCTGGAAAAACCAGCTTCTTCTGATAAGGTTTTCAAATCGTTAAAAGACAGGTCTAAATTTTGTAGATCGCTATTGGTGCATTCTGGTATATTTATTCCGATTCTTTCAGGATTTCTGATACGATTTCTCGTGATGTTGATGGTTTGTAGATTGGCTAAAGAACAAAACATCCCGTCTGGTAAAGCTCTCATATTGTTGTCAGATAAATCTAAAACTTGCAGCTCTTTTAAACCCTGCAAGCTGTACGGAGTCAGATCGAGAACTTTTGTAGGGCTCCAGTCAGCATTAAAAGTATTAACGGAGAGCTTTTTGACGTTGTACAGTCCTTCGAAGGAATTCGGAGGTATACTGAGGATTTTACAATTGTTGATTTGAAGCTCTTCGAGCTCATGCAGCCGATGTAACCCTTGACTTGGAAGCACACTTTCGAAAAAAAGCACGTCACTGCACAATATCCTTAATCTTGAAGTAACCTCCGTCGGTAACGTAGTTATATTTGCTCCTTCCTCCAAACTTCGCACTTTACAAGTAACAGACAGCTTGGAGGAGGAGCTGTCGGTGTTGTCTGGTAACCAGGAACATTGCTCGGGACCATCGTAACGATTGGCCACCACACAAACAGCTGCCCAAAACAGCGCGAGTAATAATATTTGGTACATTGTTTTTAATATTTCGTTTTTTATATACACTACAAGTTCATTTCATATGAATTAGAAGCACTTTCGAAATTTTATAATTCCGCGAAAATTCGTGATTAACATTTTTCGGACTTAGAATAATTTTCAAATACGCGCGCGACCATCTTTTGGAGCTATACACCAGCGCGAGCTCACTGTGTAAAGCTTGATGTTATACTGACTGTTCTCGCCGTTTGACTGCGGTATATACGAACCGAAGACTACGGAATCTCACGCAAGCGCTGCCCTAGTTCGATCAGCAGCCGCATCGAAGGATGGCAGCACCTGACGGTAGTCACTTCGTATTTGAGGAATTCGCGATCTTTTCACTTACCTGCTTTACTTGCACTTTCAGATTTTAAACAGATATAAAAGGATGGGCGAAAATTAGTCGGAGGATCTTAATGCGGTGATAATATCTGGATGAAAGGGCGTTTTCGGGAATCGAGGAGGCATTCTGCGATGTCGTAAAGTCAAAATATCTGGCGAAATCGTCAGCGAGGAAAATGTCTTTCGAAAATGTTGCTGACGTCTGTTTTGATAAGGGTTGTTGAGTAATTAACATTCCGTGGAAGTAGCGTTCTAATTTTGATTTTGCATGAATGAAATGTGTTTGAAAATTTCTGTTGTAATAAATGGAGATGTCTTAGTTGTGTTTTGGTGACAAATTAGCGAAGTAGAAGTAGTAGAGATGTTTTGATCTAATTTTGAGCTGGAATTCGAAAGGTAGATAATTGTTGAATAATTATAAATGTACATTTTATAAATAATTAAATAAAAAATCATTCATTATTATAGACTAACAAATTTAAAGTCTTATTAAATATTAAGTGTAGTTAACCAAAATTAGGAAACATATATAACATAAGATATCTAATGTTTTCACTGGTTTTATTAAAATCTAGTGTTTTATCTTAACTATTTATAAAATCATTCAAATGTTCATTTTTAATCGAAAGGGTTTTCTTGTTAAAATCACGTAACACGTTTTTTTCCTTTCATGTTGCCAGAATTAGATTACTTCTTATTAGATATACCTAAATGCTACTTAAGTGTAAGATTCACGATGTTATTATTTTTAATGCTTTAATTATGTTACAGATTAATTTGCAGAGTTATTTTATTGCTTATGTGATTCGTTATAAAATACAATGGAATTAAATCTATCTGTTTTGAAAAAACAATTTTGTTGTGGGTACGATTACTTTGAATGATATGTCGAGTTTAAAGTGAAATACAGTTTTTTTATTAATAAAGAAATTTTTACAAATTTTTTTTTTTTTTAATAAATGGGAAAACAAAGTTTTTCATAAGTATGTCGCTATCGTAAAAGTATAATTTTGTATTTTGGTAAAGTATAAATAAATATTTTTATAATTTTTCTTCTAATATATTATGTTATTTTCTAATTTTACATGCATTCATTATATAAAAAATGACTTACCAAAATATAATGCATTTTCTAGAGTTTTTACATTCAGTCATCCTATATCGTATATCAAAGAGCTGAGAAACAATCTAAACTTTACAAAAACAAATTAGAAAAGACTACTTATAGATATTACGAATATTTGCTAAAAAATATATATAGAGTAAAATAAAAATGGAACAAAAATACTAAAAACAAAAAAACTAGTACCTATCGTAGTTCTAATAGTTATTTTTTTTTATTTTCTCTCGGATTATTTTAAACAATATCTAAATTTAACTTTATGCTGAAAGAAATATGTTGTTAATTTTATATCGTAGATACAGACGGATATATTTTACTTTTCTTAATTTTTTTGTATAAAACTAAGAAAATATTTTAACAATACAATATTTAAAAAATAAATATTTATAAATACCTAAAAGCTGATCATAGCCATAAATCATATAAAATAAAAAGCCAAACAACAAAATTTCAAATAACTATCTATATCTACTGTTAATAATAATCCACATGGTTTTAAGATTCACACCAACCGCGGTGATAATCTGCTTTGTGGTTTTCATCTTTTGTGGTTTTATGTGTCACTTTGAGACATTTGAGTGGCTGGAAATAATCCCTTACCTGAAGAATTCGAATTTAGAGATTTATACTAATCGAAAATTTTGGTCCGAGATCTTGATAACGTTCTTAGAAGTAATAATCGCTGATAGATATTTTTAGTTGTGTTAAGTAGAAGGGTTGGACGGAAACAAAGGATTTATGAATCGGGTTTGGAGTTTGAGAAAGTTCGGAAGATGGGCCCGTAAATAATATGAAATATTTTAGGTATTTTTACAACTGTATTCGGTTAGTCAGCTATCGAAATTTCTAACTTTCTTTTTTATTTATTTTGAAAATTCACATTCTTTACATTTTTGTTTTTAAAAAAGAGTTAAAAATCGATTTTTCTTTTTACAATTATTTGAGTTATTAAAATTCTTTACAATAAGAAATTATTTTCGCAAAAGATTTTGAAATAGTTATTTGTAGCACTTAAAGCATTCCAAATTTTTATAGTAATCCCATGTTTTACATATTATATAATATTTTCCATTAATTTCCATGCATTAAATATCGGGTTTATTTATTATTATTTATCTATTCAAATTTTTTCTATTATTCCAATACGAATTTGGCTCTGTAAAACTGTAAAATTTCCAATTTTCATTTTGATTTATTCTTCAATATACAAAAAAAAAATCATTATGAATCTAATTTTCACTTACACATTTATTCGTTTTACTTACTTTTAAATTTAAATTCTTTAAATTTCGTAAAATTATATAGTACCCAGTTTATGCAAGAACAGTGGGTATGATGTCCATATTGTATAATGACGAACTGCGCTACAGATCATCCACTTGAGTTATGCAGTATATTTTTTCTACTATCCACTAAACAAAAACTACAAAATCTTAAAAATTTTATTAAACGATGTTAAGATAAAACCACTTGAATTTAAAAATATTAGACATACAATTTAATTGAGATTTTGATCTTAAATATCTTGTAGATTGTCATATATGGATTTCTGGAATACAATATTTCTTGGAAGTATTTTTTGATAAAAGTAGAGATATCGTTAAAAAAATGTGAACATTATTTTTATAAACTAAAATAAGGAACTAAATTAATAACATTTTTGCATCGGTTGATTTTGTATTGGTTATATAAAACATTTGTAAAAATAAACCTCTTAGTGGATTATAATTTTATTATATTATTTATTATATAGTTTTGATTTAAATATAGGACTATAAAATGTAATGATTTTTAAAAATTAAGTTACTTATTAAGTCTTTATATTGTTTAGGGCGTAATTATTTATTTATATTTTTTAGTGTTTCATTAAAAAAGTTTGTTTTAATCTCTCAAATTGTAATGAAAATTATAATTTTGTGTAAATAAAATTAGGTAAATTATGACTCTTTTTTTATATAATATTACTTTTTATTTATAAGAGACTCTTAATCTGTGAATTGAAAACAAGTACATTAATATTACACTCTATGATTGAGGATGAAAAAAATTTTTGTCACTTATACGTATACACTATTCAAGTTACTTTTCTATCATACATTTTAAATTGTTTGGTATTTTTCATTTATTTAATATTTTTAGCAGTTAACAGAAATTAAAAACTTCCCAAATTAATTACCTACTTACCTTCTTTTGTTAAATCAATAAATTCTTTGTTGAGTTTATATCTAGTTATTTGGAAAATGCCTTTGGTCAATGGAAAAAGGGAAATTCCATAGTTATATTCGAAAATTCTATTTTAACATTAAATAGAAATGATTTTATTATAAAACTTTTTTCTCAAATCTACACATCAATTTCTTTTCAAATTTTAAAAATGTCTGAAACAAATTCTTGTTATTGTCTTGGGTAAAATAACTTAAATAAAGTTTTCTTTTTCATGTACAGATGATATAAATCAATTATCCAAAATCATTTTTTGAATGGACATGATTTTAGAAATTTTGATCTAAACGACTATTAAGTTTTGAGTTAACCAATTACAAATAAAAAAAAAACATGAACTTATCAATATATAAACTTAATAATGTATAATCTAATCAATGCATATGCACACACTCACCAGTGCATACACCCATCAATGTATAAACTCATAAATGTATCTAAACTTATTAATTTATGAATTCAACAATTTATAAACTTACAAATGTATAAATAAACTTATGAATGTATAAATTCATTAATGCATAAATTCATTATTACATAAATTCATTAAAGCAAAAACTCAAGAATGTACAAACTTTGATATTGAGGTTAGCCATATGTGAATAATGGTAATTTTCATAAAGAAAATTAGTGCACTAGTATAAAGTGAATATAGTGTGCCAGATGATGATGTAATATTTCGAAACCGGTCGCCATTTTAAAAATGTATATCTTCGTAAAATCCATAGGACTTTTTCGGTTTTTCATAGATGGACTCTATAAATTGATGTATAAAATCAAAGTGTAGGTACAATCATCAAAGTATTTTAAATTCAGTAATTTATAAACCCACCTATAAATTGATCATAGTCAAAATAGCAGTATTTTTAAAAAATGCTGATAGTTCTATATAGATGAAACACCCTTTATAACATAAAAGGTACCTACTGATATTTATACCTGTAAAAAATTACCAATCCCTAAGTCACTCGTTACATATTCAAAAAGTGGCCATTAAACTTCAATTCCTTAACTCGAGCCACTTTTCATTATACAGAAATGACCTTTATTAAACGATTTCACATTTTGAATTCCACAAATTACAGGTTAAATAGACAATAAATGGGAATCAAGAGCCCATATGGTATAATTAAATAATACTGACCTATTACTTTAACATTAGGAGAATGTATGATGGGGCTACGAAAGTGTACCCGGTTCTTTGTAATTTGGCACAATTTTCTATAGGGTTTTAAGTAGTAAATTGGTGAGTGGGTACGATTAAAGCAGGTAAAAATTTTGGGTTTAACGTCGACTGGAACAGCTTCTTGAAAGATATATGGCCTATATATTTTACGTTTTCAAATTTTGCTGTCTTCCTAACGGTGGGGTTAAAATTCTTCAAAATTCAATAAAAAAATATTGAGTTTATTTTTGTATACGATGTAAAAGTTTCATGATTTGAGGATCTGAAAAACCTAGAGATTTGTAAGATTTGTATTATTATATAAGTGGTAATCATAAAACACTG